TTCTACCTATATGAAATGGCAGAACAGGCCAGGCCCAGAGACAGAGGGAGCCTGGAGGGCACCAGGGGCAGGAGAGTGAGCAGGAGTTTCTTTTGGGGTGACCGAATGTGTTGGAGAGGAGAAGTGGGTTACAACACTGGGGCATTCTAGATGCCGTGGGCTGCACACTTGGAGATGGTGAATCTTGTTATGTGCATTACAAAGAAAGGAAGAGGAAGGGAAGAAATCACAGAAACCATGAGGCACACCTGGTCTTCAAGGGACCCGGTGGTGTCAGGCGCCCCCAGGAAGCAGAAGTCAGAAGGTGGACAGCAGACGCAGAGGAGAAGGTAAGACGCCAAGCAGGGAGTGGGAGAGGTACCCGGGGAGCGGAAGAGGTACCTGGGGAGCTGGGAGAGGTGCAGCCTGGAGCCCCGCACAGGAAGGAAGCCAACACCCAGCTTCCAGGGCTCCACTGGGAAGCAACCTGGGAGAACCGCGTCCCTTTCAACCAGCACTGATGAGCCTAGCTGCTGGGTGCCTCCGCGAGTCCCAGGCCCCCAGCTACGTGCGTCACCTGAACTCTCTCTCCATCTAGGAGCTGGAAGCATTAACCGACAGGGTGACCTGAACCCTCATTCTAACCACGTGCCCGAGAGGCGAGAGGCGGAGAGGCAAAGAGACAGGTCACTGGGGAGCTGGCTCGGTCGTTTCTTGAGTCTAGAGCCCTCCCGCCCTTGCCTTGTGGGTCTAAGCCGCACCCGCCCCGCCCCAGCCGCGAGCCCGGGGCCCCACCTGACGGTGTAGGCGGAGGTGGAGGAGACGATGAGCGAGCTGACCATGTGCCGCAGGTGGTGGATCTCCTGCGGAGAGGAGCAGGAAATGAGCGCTGCTTCTGCCAAACCCGTCGCACTGCCCCGCCAGCAGAGAAATGCCCAAGCTGCGACGGGAGCCTCCTCGTGAGCAGCTGCCTGTGAAAGGGCCCTAAAGAAATATGGGACAGGGCTGGGCGGGGCTCAGCGGCAGAGCACTTGCCTGGCACGTGAGAGGCACCACATAAATAAACAAATAAACAAAGGCATTGTGTTCATCTGCAACTACAAAAAAAAATTTAAAAAGCAGAAGTGTGGGACAGAGGAACATGGAATGGATGAGGGGCAGAGGTGGCTCAGAGCCGCTCTCCAGGGAAAACGCCTAACCAGGACTGTTCCTGAGAGTGGTGGGCAGGGAGATCCATGCGGACCCTATCACTGTGCTGCAACGGGGATGCAGGTCCCCCCCACACACAGAGGTCCACGTGGGGAAAGCCTGCTCCCAGCATCAGGTCACTGGGAGATGGGGTTACCTTTAAGAAGCGGAACCTAGTGCTAGGTGATTAGGTCACTGGAGGTGCTGCCCTCAGAAGGACCCTGAGTGCATTCTTTTGAGAGCAAATCTGGCTCCTTCCCTGTCTCTTGGTCTTCCTGTCTCATCATATAATGTCTCCCTCTTGCCCGTGCTCCACCATGATGCCATCTACTATGATGTGACACAGTCAAGGGGGCCTTACAAGAGCCAACATTGTGCCATGTAGACTTTCAGCCTTCAAAACTATGAACTGAATAAACCTCTTTTCTTTATAATAAAGTATGAAGCCTCAGGTATTTGTCATAGCAACAGAAAATGAATTAATATACCCTGTGACCACACTTCTATTTTCTATTTTCTAGTTCCACAGATATTTCTACAGTGTTATGGGTAAAAATTACTCTTTCAAAAGGAAGAAAGAGCCAGGTGCAGTGGCACATGCCTGTAATCTCAGTGGCTTGGGAGGCTGAGGCAGGAGGATCATGAATTCAAAGCCAGCCTCAGCAACTTAGCAAGATCCTAAGCAACTCAGCAAGATCCTTTCTCTAAATAAAATACAAGAAGGGTTTAGGGATGTGGTTCAGTGGTTAAGGCCCCTGGGTTCAATCCTTGGTACAAAAAAAAAGGAAGGAAGGCAAGAAATTTGATATACATACACATACATAAAACATGTATAGATACACAGATACATAAACAGGTGGGCATACACAACAACCTACGTTAGGGTAGAGAACTAAGAAATGTATGACTTACAGGAGCTGGGTGGGAACCAGGTAGAAGAGATGGGAAGGCAATGATTTTTCCTTGGGATACCTTTTAGAAGAGGGCGCTTTGCCACTGAGCCACATCCCAGCCTTTATTTATTTATTTATTTTTAATTTTGAGACAGGGTCTCACTAAGTTGCTTAGAGCCTCACTAAGTCTCTGAGGCTAGCTTTGAACTTGTGATCCTCCTGCCTCAGCCTCCTAAATGGAATATTTTTGATTTGGGAGACTTGTTAATGTTTTACTTATTCATAAAAGAAATCAACAGAGAGAAAAGGAAACTAACCCTGAATATAAACAGAAGTCATGAACCTCACTGTATCACACTTGAAGAACATAATCACAGGCTGGGGATATGGCTCAGTTGGTAGAGTGCTTTCCTTGCATGCACAAGGCCCTGGGTTCAAACCCCAACACCACTAATAATAATAATAATAATAATACAGAAGACCAAAAAATAGAACTACCCCAAAAAACTTCTGAACACAATGATTTGAACAGATAAATGCTGAGGAGAAAACAAACTAGAAGCCAACCTTGACCCCTACTCGTTATATTGGGGCGGGAAGTAGCACAGCTGTAGCAATTCTGAAACTCTTTTGAGTATACACATGATTGAGCTGACAAGTAATAAACTAATAAGATTGTTGCTTTCGGGAGCCAGGATTGCCACCGTGGAGAAGCGAGATGAAGGGGGCACGTCCAGTCAAACACCAGTGATGCTGGATTGGAATTCAAGGTGTTAACAGAAATTCCTGGCTGTCTCCAGAGGAAGGGCTTCAAAGTTGTGACGATCCATAGCAGTGAAGGCTCAGTGTCTGATTCCTGGATTCTCAATACCTGCTCCCCACTAGGGGAAAGAACAGGACTCCTAGGAGGATGGTGAACTCCAAGGTTAGGGCAGAAGAAGTACAAGGTCACTTTTACTGTCTGGCCAGAAAGTGCTCAAAAAAAAAAGTGGTGGGGCTTGCCCCAAGGTCACAGAGCCAACTTGAAAGGGCACTGAGTGGCCAAATCTGGGAGTATCCAAGCATCAAAATCAATGATGATACCATGGGCTATCACCACTAGAAAGACAAAGTCAGAATGCTCACTGATGACACCAACACTCGGGGAGAAGGGGCTTTTCCTGAGAACAGTAAAAGACACGGAGAAGTAGAAAGCTCCTCTGCAGCCGCGGCCCTCAGGATGCAGGCAAATCAGGAAGGGGGCTGACCAGGCCAGTGAGCGAACGCGGGAGGCAGGAGGTTTCAAAGACGAAGAATCTCCCTGAGACCCTTGTGATGTACCCATTACAAAGAGAAGCCCACCTGGGGGAACCCAAGGGTCAAAGGCAGCCTCACTAGTCAGGGGCCAACAGGGAGCAGAGGCCTCCTGCTGAAACGCACAGCTCAGGACCTCGCGCAGGGCACTGAGCAGCCTCAGAATCAGAACACGAAGAAAGGCCAGACGAGCTCCTAGAGAGGGACATGCACAACACGGCTGGCCTGGATGCTTCCAAAATGCCAAGGTCGTGGAGACAGGAGAGCAAAGGCAGCATTCCAAAGGAACCGTGAACGGAGCCAGGACAATCAAATGCGACCTGGGATCCTGGACCGGAGCCTGGAGCCGGAAAATCAAATTAGCTACAAAGGACGGCGCGGGGCAGTCTTGCAACGTGGACCCGTTAGGATTCGAGCAATGTCAAAGTTCCTAGCTTGGATAACCGCACCCTGTTTGTTTATAAAAATGGCTGTTCTTAGGAAATGCACAGAAGTACTGAGGAGCACAATGCCTGCGACATACTGTCTAACTGAAGGACATCCGTGACACTAAACCCCTCCCAGCGGACAGTGAGCGCCGAGCGGGGGCCGGCTCATCATCCTGGTGAAGGAGTGCTTTGTACGATTCTTGCATCTTTTCTGAAGAATCAAAGTTATTTCAAAGTAAAAGTGAAAGGAGTAGGGGACGAAGGGGACGAAGGTGGGCAGATTCTTCAAAGGACTCTGAAGTGTCACTGACTGACCTGCAGGTGCCAGGTCCCCATCCCTGGGACTACAGCAAACCTGTGGCTCTGAGCAATTCCAAGCGAGGCTGGAGCGCTGGTGCAGGACCAGGCCAGGGCCGCCCCCCTCACTGACCTTCTTATCGGTACCACGCGCTAACCGATTGCCACTGGAGCTCGGCACTGACCTTCTTCATCTTGCGGTCCACGTTCAGATGGCGGCGCCTTTCAATGCGCAGCAGGTCCAGTTCCTCCCGCAGGGCCGCATTCCGCACCAGCTGGATGTCAAAGTGACAGGTGACCTGGGGTGGGGGGAGCAGTAGTCTCTGAGGCCTGGCCTGCCTCCCTCCTCCAGACCCAGCCAAGGAGGGGGCACAGAAACCAGCCTGTCCCCTCTGGGGACCCTGAGAGTGTACTGCCCCACTTGCAGGGCTCTTCGGTCTCCCTAACTTGGGATCCTCCGACCCCCTGGGGTCCTTTCTCTTGATACTGCTCCCTTCGCCATTTCGGAACCCCACTCCTATGTGCAGTGCTTCCCCACCCCAGAGTTGGGGTCTGGAGAGCAGAGACACCGCCCTCACCCTGTTCAACTGGTCTTCCAGGATCTTGATCCTTCGCTGGACCTTGGCCTTCTCTTTCTGGATGAAGCCGGGAGCCCTGGCGCTCTTGCCCTGGGTGAAGATGCGGGTCTCCCACTCATCGATCTGGAAGACAGGATGGTGTCTGTCCGTTGCCTGGGAGACCTTGAATGGCCAGGCAGACGGCCGACATCCACTGTCCCTCCCACCTCCCACAGTCCCTAATCCTCCTGTGGTTCTGGGGCTCCATATCCAACCATGACCCACCCCCCTGCCAGCCCCATGGCCCAGCTCTGGACGACGGCTGGGGCTGGCCTGGGGGGGGGGGGGGCGCGCCGTGGTGGAAGCTGAGCCAGCCGGCTCCTGCCCTGGCTTTGGGGGAAGTGCACGAGACGAGACTGAAGGAAAGGATTGCTGCCATCACCACCCCTGCCACAGAGAGGACGGGAGAATGAGGCCAAACAGAGTGAAGAGGAACCCCAGAGGTGACAACAGGAGCCTGATGACACAAGACCCAGTGGGTCAGTTTGTGCCTAGAGCCAGCTCCCACCCAGTTGCCTCCCTTCTGTGCTGTCTTTGCTTAGCTCACTGGGCTCCGAAGGAGGCCTCATTGGGGCAGATCTTTCTTTGTCTGTGTCTCTTCAGGGGAGGGTGACGCCTCTGTGCAGACCACACCAGTGACTTGCTTAACACCGTCTCCTGACCTGTGCTATTATGGGTTGACTGTGTCAAAAACTCAACCCAAGTCCCAACCCCCAGTAGCTAAGGGTGTGACCTTATTTGGAGGCAGGAACTTTACAGAGATCAACAAGTTAAATCAAGGTCCTTAGGTGGGGGCCAACCCCACCCACTGGCCTTTATGGAAAGGGGACATGTGAACATGGATGAGCGCCCAGGAAGGGCATCATATGAGGATGATGCTGAGGGACGCATCCACAAGCCACTGAACCCACAGGTGCCAGTGGAGAGGAGAGGAGGGGACACTTGCCCTCACTGCCAGGGAACCAGCTCCGCCAACACGTCGGGCCTGGACTTCTGGACTCCATCGCATGAGACAACCCCTGTCTGCTGTAAGAGTCCCCAACCCAGGGGACAGGAAGCCTGCCACCACCAGCAACCTGGGCCTGCACGGGACACCTCAGAGCACCGCAGCCGCCTCCCGACTCCCCCAGGGGTGTTCAGCTGCTTGAGGAAGACATCGATCAGACCCCAACGCACCACTGGCCCAGGCAGTGCACAGGCTCAGCACCAGCTGGGGCCACTTTCCTTACAGGGACGTCACACCTGTGTGACCCAGGGTTTCAACAGCTGGTGTGATAAAAATAAAATTAAACCCCCAAAGTTTTACCCTTGGGGGAAACTGAGCAAAGGGTATGGGTCATCTCTGCGTTAGTTCTTGCAGCTGCTGTGAATCCACAACTATCCCCAACTAAATTTTCTACTAAAAACTTCTTTAAATGTTCCATTTAAAAAAAAAAAAAGCAAGTCCATCAATAGATGAACGGATTGAGAAACTGTGGTGTACACACACTGGGGTTCTGCTCAGCTATGAAGGAGGAGGAGGTTGTGGCATTTGCTGGTGAATGGATGGAAATGGAGACCATCGCGCCACGTGAAACAAGCCAGACCCAGAAACTCAAAGGTGAGACGCTTCCTCTCATATGTAGCAACTAGAGTATACCAAGGAAAGGAGGGAAGGCCGAAGACATGAAGATGCGGGAAGATCAGTGTGGAGGCAGCATGGAGGGGCAGAACAGGGGAGGAGACGAGGAACAAATTCTCAAAAACCAATGTTATGTGCATAAATAGATACCCCTCAGGGAACTTCACCTTGTGTATAAGTGAAAAGAAACAACCAAAAACTAATAAGTAGACAAGCGAAAGGAAGTCTAGACCAGGGGTGGGGGGAGGACAGGAAGGAAAAGTGGGGGGATCGCGAACTGAAACCGAGTCCCACACAGGTATGATGTTGTCAGGATGGACCCAACCACTCTGTGTGACTGTCATGGTCCAATAAGAAAAAAAGCAAGTAACGCACGGTACAGGACCAATACAGAGTTCCACAAAATCACCTGGGAATGAAGGCAGCCATGCTCAATCTGACTTCAAGAGTTGGAAAGACTGTTCAGGGCCTGTACACCATCCAGCTGGTAAGGATCCTGACTTTTTTTGGGGAGCGGGGGGCTGGGAATCGAGCCCAGATCCTTGCATGTGCCTTCCAGGCAAGTGCTCTACCACTGAGCCATATTCCCAGCCCAAGAAGGAAATATAGATTTTTAAAATTTATGCATATTGTTCTTACAAATGGTTTACATAAAAAGGTTTCTAACCTGTCAGAACACAAACATTTATAAGATTATTTTAAACTCGTTAATAAATACAACTGTCAGCAGTGCACTATGGGATCACCTAAGACCACTTGGAGAGCGGAGTAGTATCTTTTCAGGAATTCTGTGAGCCAGTTGTTAAATGTTGGTCATATAAAACTGCCCCCTGTATTAGTGTTCTGCTGCTACAGACCATATTAGTCAACTTTCCATTACTATAATGAAATGCCTGGGAAAATTAACTTAAGAAAAAAAGCTTTGTTTAGCTCACACTTCTAGAGATTCTATTCCAAGATCTGGTGGTCCCATTGCTCTGGGCCTCTGGTGAGGACATTATATGACAATAACAAAGGGCACATGTTGGACCAAACCAGTTCATCTTGAGCCAGGAGGCAGAGCAAGAGACGGAGGCCAAGGTACCACAATCCCCTCAAGGGCACACCCCAAAGGAAGGGGATATGCAAAGGTGTCAGTATATTCATCACAGCCAAGATGGGAGGTTAACCTTGTGAAAATTAACAAATGCTACAAGTTAAGGTGCTTTTTATCCTAACGGCTGCTTCCCAGCACACCTCTGGCCGGTAGGGATTTCTCTGGGGGCTAAAAAAATTACTAAGAAATTAAGGGCTCCAGGAATCAACAGAGCTTAGGACCCACCAGCTCAGGAAATTCTCCCCAACATTAGAAAAAAACTCTTACAATTTTTAAAAATATTCATATGGTTTTTATACAGTGGGAGGTAGGAATTATTTTTTAACAGTTTTATTGAGGTGTAGCTGACATATAGTGTAACTGCCCAGATCTGAGGTATACAAGCTGGATACAGTGGCCACACCTGTAATCCCAGTGGCTCGGGAGGCTGAGACTGTGCCATCCAGAGTTCAAAGCCAGCCTCAGCAAATTTGGGGGTGGGGGGCCTAAGAAACTGAGCTAGACCCTGCCTCAAGACTTTAAAAAGGGTGGGGGTGGGCTGGGAATGTATCTCAGTAGTAAAGAGCCCCCAAGTTCAATCCTCAGTACCAAATGGGGGGGAAAAGATGTAAGGTGTACAACTGGATGAGTTTTGACATAATCAAGATAGTGACTATACCCACTACCCCCAGGCCTCCCCACCCTCTCACAGTTCTCCCCACGCTCTCCACGGCCCCTAACCCCAGCTGTCACCCCTGTTTTCTGCACCATTTCCACTTATTTTAATGGAACCATATAGTGCATACTCTTTTAGAAGGACAGGGTCTGGCTTTTCCCACTCAGGGTGATGGATCTGAATTCCCCACCCTGTTGTGGGGTCCACAGTGCATTCTTTGCCCTGGTGAACGCGATTCCACTTTTTGCAGGTCCCACGATGTGTTTGTCCTTTCACCCCCTGATAGACGTTTAGGTTGTTTCCAAAATTCAGTTTGGGAGTTTACAAATCAAGTTGAGTCATTATCAATATTCACGTACAATTTCTTGTGTGGACATGGGCTTCCTTTTCTCTTGGGCAAATACCGAGGAGTGGAACCCCTGAATCTTATGATAGATTTAAAAAAAAAAAAAACTGCCAAACTCCTTTCCCATGGTTGCACCCTGTGTGTCCTCAGAGAGCAGAGTGTGAGAGCCTGTCCCCTTGAGGCATCACCCTGCTCACCACGCTGCCTCAATCCTTAAGTCCCAAGTCCTCGATTCTGCAGATACTGCAACAAAATCCACACAGGAGCATTCAAATAGGTGGGAACTTCCCATGCTCCAGAGCTTAGGTATGAGAACACTAAAGTCCTCATGATCGTTATATTTACATATTTATATAATTATGTATCATATACTGTATTTTAGTTTTTATAGATGCTCCACTTCTAGGGCAATGGGTTCAGTGAAATTCATTTCCTTCCTAGTGTATCACTTTTGTTCAAGGGCAGTGTGGCCTGTTTCTGAATTGTATGTAAGATGAAATAATGCTGCATGTATGTTTGATGTCTTACTTCCTTCATTCAATTGTTATTTACATTCATCCATGTTACTGTCCCTAATCAAAATCCATTCATTTTTCATGGTTGTATACTATTTCATTACACAAACATACCACATTTCTTTACTCATCTAAAGGCTGATGGACCCAGGCTGGCCAGTATGGGAATGCTCCTACCAACATTCTCTTATATGAGTCCTGGCTATAGGACTCAGATGTGGAATGTATGGGTGATTATGGGTGATTGTGGGTGATGAGGAGGAAGGTCAACAACAGATCTAAACTCCTTTTCTGTGGGCGAATGACTGGTTGACTCTCTCCCAACACTGCTCCCATGGAGTCAGACGGGGCTAAGGCTAGCTGGGTCCCCAGGTAATGATGTTTAATATAAAAAATGACACCCAGGGGGCTGGGGATGTGGCTCAGTGGCAGAGCACTTGCCTAACATGTGTGAGGCACTGGGTTCGATTCTCAGCACCACATAAAAATAAGTAAGATAAAGGTATCGTGTCCACCTACAACTTAACAACACCCAGCCACCACACAGCATCACCAACTGGCCATGCTCCTCCTGCCAGCTGAGAGGCCCTCACAGGACGCACTGCCTCCTGTCCTCCACCCCTCCAGGCAGCTAAGTTCCAAGGGCCACAATAGAACCTAGTGGCCCCATGATGTGAACGCCAGGCTGAGCCCAAGCCCCTTGTGGTGATCAGGCCAAGAGGATGGCCCTGGGTCAGAGTCCATCTTCAAATTTCATAGATAACGGGGGAGGGTTGTGACAACTTACACCCCCACTGATTAGCAAGTGTCCCCACTGCTCCTTCACCCCAAAATGATGCTTTTATTCAGACGTCAGTGTTTGAAGGCCTGGTGTGTTTCAGGATGCCTCACTGTGGTCTTAACGAGCTTCCTCTGATTACTTATAATCCCCATGTTTACTGAGCATCCACATTTCTTATTTTGTGATGTGTCAGCTTTGACTGTTTTTGTAACTGCACTGATTCTTAATGACATGAAGAAGTCCCTCACAGGTCCTTGGTGCTAGTCCTTGGTTAGCTGTGAGCTGCAGATAACCACTCCTACCCCCGGACTTCCTGGGCCTGCTCTTTATGGTTTCTCTGGATAAACAGAATTTATCCATTTTAATGTCATGGAATGTATCCATCTTTCCCTTTAGAAGTAGAGGTTTCTGTCACTTCTTTAAGAAATCTTTCCCACCCTCACACAATTATATCTCTCTGATCATCTGAAATTAATTAGGAAAATGTGAGGTCAGGGTCTGATTTCATCTCATAATTTTTATGGATATTCAATTTTCCAGCACCATTATTGGAGTTCTATTTCTCTGAAGTTATAAATCAAACGTTCACATACGCACAGCTCTCTTTCAGGGACCTCTGGGAGGGGAGTGGGTATTGAACCCAGTGGCTCTTTGCCACTGAGCCACATCCCCAGCCTTTTTATTTTTGATTTTGAGACAAGGTCTCACTAAATTGCTGTGGCTGTCCTTGAACTTGAACTCCTGCCTCAGCCTCCTGAGTCACTGGGATTACAGTGCACCACTGGCTGGCTTCTTTCAGGGACCTCTATTTTCTCTCATTGATCTGTTGGATTAGCTAGTTACTAGAGCTTTACGATCAATTTTGATAACTGATGGGGCGAATCCTCCCACATTCCTCCTCTTCTTCTAAGTAAACCTTAGTTATCTTGTCCTTTGCACTTCCATATAGACTTTAGAATCTGCTTGTCAATCACACCTGTAAAGAATAGCAACAAGGGTGGGGGGTAACTGAGTGAGCACTTGCTCAGCAGGCATTAGGCCTGGGTTTGACTGCAGCACTGCAGACCACTATCACCATCATCTTTTTGATTGGGATCATATTACATCTATAAATCAATTTGCAAGAACATTTTACAACACACTCTTTCAATCCATGAATGTGGTATACCTCTACATTTATTAAATGTTTCTCTAATATCCTTCAGTACAATTTCACAATTTAGTCCATAGAGGTCATGCACACTTTTATTAGATGTCTTCCTAAGGACTTCTTTTGGCTATTATAAATGTCTTTTTTTTTTTTTTTGGTACTGGGGATTGAACTCAGGGGTGCTTCATCATTAAACCACATCTCCAGCCCTTTTTATTTTTTATTTTGAGAGAGGGTCTCCCTAAGTTGGTGAGGGCCTCCCTAAATTGCTGAGTCTGACCTCAAACTTGTGATCCTCCTGCCTCAGCCTCCAGAGTCACTGGGATCAAAGGTGTGTACCACCGCATCTGGCCTTATTTTATTTTCTAATAGTTATTGCTGTTACAGGAAATTACAATTGCCTTTGCATATCAATAACTTTATATCCAGCCCATTGTTAAAAGACCTCATTAATTACAAGTTAGCCCTAGATTCTTGGGATCTTCTATGTACATAAATATGTCATCTATAAATAATGACAGCTTTATGTCTTTCTCCCCAATCTTTTTATCCATTTTATTTTCCTTGCTTTTTTTTTTTTCTTCTTCTTTTCTCTCTTTCTTCTTCTATACTGGATAGGACCTCCCTAGAGTGCAATGTTAAACACAACTGGTGCCACCTGACAGCCTGGTATTGCTACTAATCTCAAAGGGATCCTCTTATTTTTCCATGTGTTACTGTCAAATATGATATCTATTGTAGATGTTTTCTATGTTTTTTCCCTAGTTTGCTTAAGAGTTTTATTGCATTTTTTCCCAGCACGGGGATTGAACCCACTACCTCACAAATGCTGGGCAAATGCCCTGCCAGTACTGAGCCATGGCCACAGTCCTTGCTTAATATTTTTGACCTTCAATGTCTGTTGAATTTTATCACAGAATGTTTTGTCTGCATAATGTGGTAAATTTAGAAAATGAGAGTAAGCATCACAAATAGTGTTGATGCTCGCTGGGCGTGTGGCACACACCTATAATCCCAGAGGCTTGGGGGCTGAGACAGGAGGATCGTGAGTTCAAAGCCGGCCTCAGCAACAGCAAGGCGCTAAGCAACTCAGTGAGACCCTGTCTCTTATAAAATACAAATAGGGCTGGGGATGGGGCTCAGTGGTGGAGTGCCCTGAGTCAATCCTCAGTACCCGCCCCCCTCAAGAAACAGTGTTGCTGAATTCACATGGCAAATTGAGCAGACACAAGTCTTATAAAAGTAACAGTAATAAATTAAAAACTTTTTCAATTGGCCCTTCAACACATAGTTTGAGAAATTCTGAGAATCTCCACTCGTAAAAAATCTAACTGGAGAGGCTAGGGTTGTGGTACAATGGTAGAGCACTTGCCTGGCATGCGTGAGTCACTGAGTTCGATCCCCAGCACCACTTAAAAATAAAAACAAATAAAAAAAAGGTATTGTGTCCATCTTAAAAAAAATCTAACTGGAGACTAATTTTACATTTTTCTTTGCCAGGAAAGCTCGTCTATTCGCTTGTTGATGATATTTTCACTGGTGTAGTAGTTTAAGTTGACTTTTCTCCTTTGGCAGTGAAATTATAATCTTTCTTTCTTTATCATTTTTTTTTTTGTGTGTGTGTATGTGTGCGTGTGTGTTGCTGAGGACTGAACTCACTGTTTTCTGCCACTGTTTTTTGAGGGATCAGCTGTCTAGCTGAGCATGGGTAAATGCCTGTAATCCCAGCAAGTCAGGAGGCTGAAGCAGGAGGATCACAAGGTCAAGCCCAGCCTCAGCAATATGGAAGACCCTAAGGAACTTAGCAAGATTCTTTCTCAAAACGAAGAACAAAAGGGGCTGGGGATGTGGGTTCATTCCCCAGTACCATAGAAAGAAGGAAGGAAGGAAGGAAGGAAAGAAGGAATCAGCTATAGGTCTAGCTATGGTTCCTCTGAAAAAGTTGTTTTCTGGCTACTTTTACATCCTTTCTTGACCTTGTGTGTGTACTGGCCAGTTCTCTACTGTGGGACCCTAACCCCTATCTGACCTGCAGTTCTCCATAATCAAGTTTCTTAGGGCAAAAGAATCCATGGGATCAAAATAAGCAGATCATCCTGCTTGGACCTGACTCTGCTGAGTTTCCATGGACGACTAAAGAAAGCAACTGAAGCAGACACACCCACTGAGCCCCTGAACTTCACGAAACAGCCACAAGCCTAAAGTGAAAACCAGAATTCAGCTTCCAAAAGGCAGTCAGTGGTATCAAGGGCTGTCCAAACAGACCAACTGAAATTCAAATGGAATCAAACCATGAACCATGTGATAGACACAGTCAGGATCACTGAAGGCATCTGTGTCCTAATTCCTGTAACCTGTGAATACGATGTTACCTTCAACAGCCAAAAGGACTTTGTGGATGTGATAAAGTTGAGGATCTGGACATGGGGAAATTAGCCTAGAAAAATCACGTTGTTTGCAAGGACAAGTAGCTGATCTGGGTGGAGCAATTTGATCAGAGGATCCAAAAACATGAAAAGGGGAGGCATGAGAGTCAGAGAAAGAGAGTGGTTAAGAAAAGCAGGGCTGGGGTGATACAGCCCAGAAAAAGACTCAACCCGCCACTGCCAGCTTTGAAGGAGGAGGAAGGGGTCACGAACCAAAGGATACAGTGGACTCCAGGAGCTTTAAAAAGTATGGAAACAGATTAACCCTGAAGCCCACAGAAAATGCAGCCCTGACAACACCCTGCTTTTAGACTAGTAAGACCCCTTCAGACTTCAGACGTCCAGGGCTGCCATGTTCTGTGGTCATTGTTACAGCAGCAATAAGAAACTAATACAGACCACCACACAGGAGCAATTTCCAAACTCCCATTTGTGAGTCAATGATGTGCAAGAAAACATTTGTTCTAGACAAACAGTGCTCTTTAATCAAAAGTAGGTGAGAAATACCAGAATGAATCCCTTGTAGAATAAAGTAAATATTCCTTGGTGTCACTTCTGTTGCAGATATGTATGTGTGTGTTTTTATCTGTATGCATCTGGGTGCGTACAAACTGTATCACAATGAGTCACAGTCTTAAAAACTTGAAAGGACGCTAGCCTAGAAAAATCACATTGTTTGGGAGGACAAGTAGCAAGGACTTGGGGTGACAGATTAGAAATCTGACTAAATTCTACTATATTCCATCATCCTATTTTTGCAAATGAAAAAACTGGGGCCCCGAGAGGTGAAGACTTTCCATGGCCACTCAGCCCTGATGTGGCAGAACCGGGATTCCCATGCAGGTCTGCTGGCTCAGGAGAGCCTGTCCCAGTGAACAGCACCAGCCCCTCCTCCCACCTTGAATATCTAGGATTGTGCAAAGCACCAAACCCCCATATTCCCAATGACCAAAACTCCATCGGGTGGATGCTTTTGAAGGCCCCATTTTTCAGATGAGGAAGCTATGGTTCAGGAGGTCACAACTGTGCCCTGAGTAGGATCCACAGAGCCTGCTCTCGGCACCCACCTGCTTGTCCAGGGCCTTCATCTGCTCCTGCAGCTCCTCCACCTTGGCCTGAGCCCGCGCCTTGCACTTAAGCAGGTGGTCCATGCTCTCCAGCCGCTCATTGTCCCGCAGCCTCTTGACTTGGCTCTGGGCCACGCTGATCTGCATCTGGAGCTTGGCCCGCACCTGCTCCAGGCGCTGGATCTCCTCGCTGCCCAGGCAGGGAGGTGGAGGAGAGGCCAGCGAGGGGGCAAAGCTCAGCCTCTCTAAGGCAATCCGGAGCTCCAGTCCTCCCCGCTCAGACCAGCCCTTTTTATACCCTCTCCCCAGACCGGGGCCCAGGCTCTCAGCTCACAGTTGCTTGTTGATGCGCTGGTGGACTTCCTTGCTGTAGGTCCGCCTTTCCCCTTCCATCACCTTGCACTGTCGCTGCAACCTGCTCAGCTCCCAATCCACTGAGGGTGGGACCAAGCAAGGGACTCAACATGGACCTGAGCCAGCAGCCCCCTTCTCCCCAGGACCTGGAATCGTGGTCTCTCTGGGGTCTCACAAACTGCAAATGAACTGCAGACCCAGCCGCCAACACTCTACTAGGACTACATCTCAGTTCCTGTACCCTCCGGCTTCCAGGTCCATTCATACTCCCTGTACCCAAGCTATACTCCTTCTTTCCCCTGAACCCACTCCACCGGAAGTTTGGACACTTATCTGTTTTCCCACTAGAGGGCGCTCCTAGAACACCTCTTGGACCTCTGGAACCTGAGGCACCCTACAAGGGACTTGGGAAAGCTCGGGCTCCATCCTCCCTTCCAGCAGGAACCACAGTAGCCCTCCGCCCCATTCTCCTGCCGCCTCACGCTGTCCGCTGGTCCCTTAGGCTCCGCTTCATCCCTTCCTGCTTGAATCATCATCGGTCTCCTTCACAACCTCCATTTACAGTCCTCAGGGTCTTTTAACACCCAGAGTAGACCCTGGCCCTCCCATGCTCAAGGGCCTCCCAAGGCACAGTATGTACAGGACAAAGTCCCAGCTCCTCGGTCTGGCACTCGAGGTCCCATATGACCTGACTCTGCCCATCTCTCCAGTCTTTTCCACCACCTCCCCACCTCCCAAGACCCAGTGCTTCTTCACCAGGAGCACTTCTGTCCCCACAGATATCTGACAATATCTGGAGACATTTTTTTATTGCTACAACTTGGGCTGGGTATGCTACTGACATCTCATGAATAGAAGCCAGAGATGGCTTTTGGTATTCTATAACGCACAGGATATTCCTAACGACAAAGAACTCTCCTACTAGAGGTGTCAACAGTTTCAAGAGAAATTCTTCTCGGGGCACCCCGTTGTTCTCTCTGCAGAAACGCCCTTCCCTGCCTTCTCCCCTGAGCAATCCTTGGGAGATGTTCTGGGCCTCACTCAAATTTCTGCAGCTGCCAATCTTCCTGGCGCACCCCGCTGCTCCGGCCTGCCCACCACCCATCTGCCGGGTGCTACTTCCAGTCGCAAGCATGCCTGTTTTCCCACTAGAGGGCGCTCCTGGAGCTCGACCCGGGACCTGGAGCTTGGGGAAGCTAAGGACAGGAAAAGGATGAGTGGGAAAAAGAAAGAATGTATGAATTACTCATTCCCTCCAGGAAGGACTCGCTTCCATCCTCGGAGCGGTTGCTCTTTGCAGAGAGTTCCAAAGGCATCTTGGCCAAAGAAGGCGGGGCTCCTGTCGGAATTAACACCACATCCTTCAGAAAGCAGGCAGTCAAGTGCTGGGGGGGGGGGGGCGAATTGCTAGGGACTGGGATTTGGAAGAGGAAGACACTAGAACCGCTCTGACCTTTCTCTGAGTCTCAGTTCCTCCCAGGCTGGGACCCCACACCACTCCTGACCTCCCCATCTCTCACATTCTTGGACTTGCGTGCCGGGGCTCACTAGCGCAAGGGGACAGGTCCCGTGAGCTCTCCGTATCTCCGAGGACAGAGCTGCATGGTCAAAGGAGGGGGAGCCCGGGTCGGCGGTGGGGTCAGGATATAAGGCCCCAGCCCTACCTGCTGGAGTGCCCGACCTGTGTCCCTAGTGCTCTAAGCTCACTGTTGTGATCACTGTTGTGATCTGGTTACTGGGGAGATAAGGGACCAATGAGGCCAGAGGACAGTGTCCTGGGAGGGACCAAGGTAGCAGCGTAGAATCTAGGTGGGGAGGAAGGGCGGAGGAGCGGAGGAGGTGGTGAGTGAGCCACTTGTGGGGCTCCCCGGGGCTTAGACTGACGGCTTCAGGGCCTGCAAGGGCTGGGCTGGGAGAGTCAGGGAGGAGTGGGACTGAGAAGGTCCAGGGCTTCGGGGTGGGTGAGGGGAGGAGCACCGGCACTTGTCAAAGGTGGGGCTGTCAGGGACCACAGGGAAGGCCTGTAAAGGGCGGGGCGGGGGCGGGGCCAGGGCCTGCGGTGGGCGGGGACAGGGCGGTATTGAAAGGGCGGGGCGTTAAGGGTGTTCCGAGGAACTGAGTACTTAAGGGGCGGAGCCGCGAGCGGCTGCCAAATGTCCTGCGAAAAACGAGGGAGGGGTGGGCTACCCGGGAGGCGCTAGAACCCGGAGGGCCCTTGGGAGGTCAGGACGGTCCGTGTGGGGAGGGGACCTTGGGGTTGTGAGGGTCTGAGGGATGTCGCGGGCCTGTGAGCCGCGGACTGTGTTTCCGGGAAGGAGAGGCAGTAGTTGAAAGATCCTAGAGAGAAACGTCTGGAAGGCTTTAGGGCTAGACTGAGGTCCTTTGGGGCCGGTCGGAGAAACACGCGCCTCAGGCTGATTAAGGCCACGTTATTTTGAGACTTCATTAGCAAGGAGGCGGTGCCAAAGCCGGGAATTGTGGCGGGGGCGAGCGCTCACCGCTGCCTTTGGTCCTCGCAGAAACTCGCTACGCATGCGTGGCCAACGGCTTCCAAAGAAGCCGCCAAAAGCCCTTGGCCACCTACCGCGTCTGCGCATTGGGAGGCGGAAGTGGGCGGGACCTCAGCGCGGCCGCCTTTGCATCATCTGGCCACGCCCCTCTTGATCACACCCTCTTTCCGCAGGACATGCCCCCTCCGCAGCCAGCTGCTGCCCACATGGGCCTCCCTCGCGGGCGGCCAGTGGGCGCCTCTCCTGCAGGCAGGGTGTGCCCGACGCCTGCGGTTTCCTGTGGGAGGAAACGGCTCGCGGACGCTCAGCTCAGCTCTTATCCTCAGAGGCACGGAAGGGGGAGATCCCGCCACCTCTCTCGCTTCCCAATTCTCGCCTTCCACAGAGGCCCACCTACCCTCACCCCAAAAACACCCTCCAGAGTACCTAAGTCCAGCTCTGATCCAACCCAGGGAACCTGACTTGGAGTGCGAGGGCTGTTTCTCAGGGCTCTTTTCAATTTACGTCTGCCTCCTCCGTGAAGCCCTACTCCTCCCAAGACCTGGGGCGGGGCTGTACTCCCAGAGGAGCACCTGACACTCTCCTCCAACCCATAAGTTTTCCCTCAGTGACCTAGACTTTTAAACTTCCTTGAGAATTCAGTCCCAGTCTCCATCCTCATGAATTTAAGTTTGGGATTCCTTATTTTCCTCCCCAAAATATTCTCAATTTTGGATTCCAGACTTTAGCCTTGGGACCCAATGGACCCAAAAATTTGCTCTTTCACTGGGCGTGGTGGCGCACACCTATAATCCAGCGACTTGGAGACTGAGGCAGAAAGATCACAAGTTCAAAGCCAGCTCAGCAACTCAGCAAGGCTCTAAGCAACTGTCTCAAAAAAAAAAAAAAAAATTAAAAGGGCTGGGATGTAGCTCAGTGGTTAAGCACCCATAAAAATAAAACAATTTACTCTGTCGCTGGACCCTGAATTTTTCAGGGTCTGCCTGAATCCACTCAGGACCCAGGGCCTGATGTAAGTAGCAGGACATACAGTAACAGTGCTCACTGTGTGCTCAGCATTTCTCTGATGTATTTACTATCATCCCTATTTACAGGTGAAGAAACTGAGGCATGGAGGGGTTATAGTAACTGCTCAGAATCACACAATGAGTAAAGCAGCTTGGATTTGGATCCAGCCACTCTGGCTCTAAAGTCTGTGTTATAATGGTACCCCAGCTTCTGGGTCTTCAGATACCCACCCAAGCACTGAATTGTAAGACTCTCATCTCCTCAGGGAGCCCAAATCAACACACCCAGCTCTGGCCCCATCTGATACCAGACATGTCAGCATCCATTCCCCAACTTTCAATTCATTAGGACCCTGACACTTGGTCCCCTTCAAAGAGATCCAGGTCCACAGTAGCAATCACCCCCACACACCCTAATTCAGTATCCGAACAGTAGACAATAATAATAGTTAACATTAAGTCCCTGGTGCCAGAGTTCTGTTAAAGCCCTCTAGTGGCTTCCCACTGCACTTAGAATAAAATACAAACTCCTCCCTTGGTCTTCAAGGGTACCCTTTGATTCCCTTCCCACCATTCCCTCTGGCTCCCTTTGCTCCAGCCACACTGGCCCTTCT